CACACACACACACACACACACCCACAAACACACCCACGTCCCCCCCCCCACACACACATACAAACATATAGATTAGCATTGGCTTACGGCTTGCACTCGAACGCAATATAATTGTTTGTATTTAATGATGTTTAAATGTAACTTCCAATTTTTCTTGGATGTTAAATTATAATCAAGTTCTGTTTTTGAGTTGATGTGTGCTTTGGTTACAGAAGGCCTCATCTAAATATTACAAATAGATCTATCTATATATATATCTATTAAGCGGGTGGCTGGCGGGTGCTCTGGTGAGGTTTGCTTCTTCTTTCTCCTATCAAACACCTATCGTCCTTTTCCCCCCTCCTTCTATTTTGTGTTTGTTACTCTCTTGTAACACCTTTAATCTTCGGCACTTTTATGACCTTTTTGTGTTGCATATACCGTAAAACTCTTACTAAAACTAAAACTAAAATCTATTAAACAAATATTTACGATGCACTCCATGCCTAAACGTTCTAACCGCCTCTCCCCTCCCACTTCTATTCTCTCTTTCTCTCATCCTGCCCTAGATCTACCCTGCCCCCCTCTCTCTCTCTTTGCGTGTGTGTGTGTGTGTGTGTGTGTGTGTGTGTGTGTGTGTGTGTGTGTGTGTCTCCAGAATTTGTTTTCTTTTTTCTTGACTCGCTCGATCCATTTTGGTTTCCTCTTCACATATGGTCGCTTTTAATTTTAAACCCAGATTTCGGGGTTTTCCAGAAATCTTGACCTACACCAAGTTGGGCATTGCCCAAGATATAAGAAAAGTTTGGTTTCCCTGGTGTGTATGTTTGTTTGGTTATAGAGGAGTCTCTCCTCGTCTTTTAAAGAAATTGAAAAAGGGTCCCAAAACTTTAACTTGGATTTTCTCAAAACAGCATTTTTCGGGACTAGCCCCCTCGTGCTTAAAAGGGACCATAATATTATGTCCCACTGTTGACACCAATTGACAAGTTTATTGCTGGTGCACACACAGACAGAGACACGGACGGACCTAGTGAGTGACCAGTGGTAGACTGCAGCCGGTTCCATTTGACTCAGATTGGGGTGGGGTGGG